ATCAACACGGTTGGTGGCCCCTTGACGTCGATAACAATGAATAGTTCGGACGATCAGTTGTTTTTACGTAGTGCAGTTTTCGCAGTGATGATCTCATAATCTGATGAAAACGTCGCATATTATTGAGGGAAACCTTGACTTGAAGAAGACCTTCTTACTAAAGTACTTATGAAATACAATTCTCTGATGTTTCGGATAGTTATGAATAGATAGTTTGCCAATCAGCAGAAAATCTTTACCACACACAGCGAAATTGTTGAACAAAATCGTTGGAAAGTTTTAATTTTTGACTTGTTTTGACTTTTGGACCGAGAAGTTTTGATTTTTTGACCAAAGAGATATTTATGAATGGGCTCGGGTAATTATCAGCATCCAGACTCTAACCGGTCTTAAACAGACTGCGAGTGTTTAAACCCTCCCAAGCATTTTATTCCCTTACTATATACTATGAGTATACATGGATGTCTAAACAAGAAAGCTAAATCCAAAAAGAATCATAATTGCACGGCCTCTTTGTTCGAGAAGAAAACAAATGCAAATACAGAAACAACCAAAATACAAATCAACAAACAATACGGCTGTAAAAATTAGCCCTACAAATTTTGAGAACGAGTGCCCACTTTAAAAAAAAACTAAAAACAAAAAGGCTATTTTTGCTTTAAATTTTTGGTATGCCCATTTTCCTTTTTTAAGACTTCGCAAGTCACAAAAAAATGGAAGAAACATGGTTTTCGGAATGTTATGTATAATTTCAACGACTTACCGATTACTTGAAGCCCGACTAAGACCAATACATGAGACATTTTCCCGAATACACAGGGGAGCGTAGCCCTTACATCGCCGCCTGGTCCTCGCCGGTTAAATGAACTCAATTAGTGACGTCCCTCAGCGCCAAGGTCCGATGATTTCCTTCAAAGCCTTTGAATTGATAAGGGACCGTACAGTATTCGGATGTTTTGACCGTGAACGTGTGAATTAATTAACACAGCACTGAGTTCCTCAGCTTAATTTAGTCCATCTAGTTTCGCTATCTCTACAGACTGTTGAATGTAATGCAGACTAGGAGTCATCACTCATGGATACTAAGTAGTTAGCTTGGTAACAGAGCAGTCTTTAATGTCACACAAGATTAACATGGGTTTGTTTCCCTAAACTATACCTTCATGGCGAAAAATCGAATGAGAGTGCAGTAAGTCAGAGCAAGGAATTTTTGCAAGGTATTCTCGAAATGTATTTCGACAATAATTCTCTATGTAGTCCCGGCCCTCTCGTCCAAATTGCACGAACTGGGTTCTATGTGCAACTGCCGCTATTGGAATTGTACGGACATGAAGGCCAGAGTGGGTCGCATGGAAAGGCAGTTTTTTGTGGCGATAAATTAAAAACGGTTAATTGCTAGACCCGGTCTCGGAAGGCATGTATTACATTTTATAGTTGCCATGGAAATCTTCAATTATCATGGAAATTCAGCGCAGAGTGTCCAATGAGGCGTGAGCAGCTTTCAATATGGAACATTGTGTCTTCCAACTCCAACGGTCCATTGTAATTGGCCCCGTTTGGATTTCAATGGGTTTTTTTTTAAACGAAATTAAAATAAGCATCGAAGCCGAGAATATTACTCGTGCCACCACCTCTCGGAACGACGATACCACGGCAGACTCTATCGAGCGGGAGCGCGGTGACGTGCCCAATTCAATTTGCCGAGGCGAATATTGTTCCAAAGGCAGTACTGGTACTATGTCGAATTCAAAACTAAGTCAAATAGATTGAATTCAGGGCGAAAACATAGCAGGGCGTTTAGATCACGCCTTGTGTGTTAAAAAATGGTGTTTTAAAGTCATGCTGTAAAAAGGGAACACCTAGCCCTCGATGTCTATGGAGATGTGAAATTCGAGTAGATCGATTGCATTCAGCGGCCATCTTGGAGGTCTGTTTTATATGTTTATTCTTTTTAAAATGAATACACAAGAGGTGTACTCGTACGTATCATTGATGAACAAAAGCACACACCTCAGAGATATGCACAGCTGCAGTGCAAACAATCTACAAACCATTCGAAGCAAGCTTTCACTGTGCATTCACGGTGCCCCCCTTCAATAGCGAAAGAACTGTGCCGGCTATTTTGCAAAGCAACTGCAGCATGGCTGATTTTCTGAACAATAGCTGGAACAATGCTTTCGCCATTGATGAGGGGTGCCTCCGTGAGACTGTACAGATACTAGCTGCTTCTGAATGGTCTTAACCACAGACAGTTTCCACTGCAGATAAGTTAACAACACCTTCAGAGATTGATGACATTGTAATAATAAATGATATGACCAATATTGCATTTTAAGCACGGAGTCACATGGGTAATTATCACAATAACACAATTATGGCGTTACAATTAATGTTTGAAACATGGAGACACAAAAATGAATGACATATAACGCGCCTTCGTTATTTGAGACTGATTCTCCTCAAATTATCCTTCGCGTGGCAGGCTTCTATTATAGGAGCGTACTTTTCGCCCTACAGAGATGTGTATATTAATAGACCTTTTGAATTACACTGACAAAAGCACGCCTCGTTGATGAAATTGCTTAATAAAATTAACGGTCCATTAGGCCAAAAAAAGTCTCCGGTTTCTGGTATGGAGCTTGCCCAAAAAGTGGTGCGGCGACGCGGCTTTTTTTTCTTTACCTGACTTTTTTGCTTCAAATGTCGGCTGATGACTGCAAATGGTGCCCGACTAAACTTAGTGCAAATATATGGGAGTCCAGAGAGGTCACATAAAGCTTATTCTCGATCATAATCCCATCTAAAAACACGTTAAAATTGTGCAGCAGCACGATTCCAGTCAAACCAGTGAGTTTGGCGGTTTTGAGACATAATGGCCTTTTTTTGGCCTAATGGCTCGGAACTGCATTGAAATAATGAAAATACTTGTTTATTTAAATATTTTGGAACAGCATCTCCCCCAATAATACACAGTGCAAACTATTTTGTAACTTTACTCTCACACGCTCAACTGTTTAGGTTCTTTCTATGCAAATTAGTTCATTGAATTTATAACTTTCATGTACACAGGAGACTCGGTGACTTGCTGTCGCATGCTAAAAAAAAAAGAGAGAGAATTGAACACAGTAAAGCCCCTATACAAATTCTGTCAATTTGTTATGCTGAAACAGCTCAAACAGTCCGCGACAATGGTTGCAGGCTAGTAAATCAACTGCTATAGACCCCAGTGTTAAATACGCACACAGTGAAAAATACTCACAACTCTCCGAGATGTTTAAGACACACATCAAATTAAAACTTATTTCATCATCTGTTATTTTCTGTTCAAATTTTTTGGGGTTAATCAATAACTATTGGGAGGAAATTCCAAACAAAATAATGATCACCCCTAAAAGTGGTCCTGGAGCCCATCGCCATTTGGAAAGATTATGCCTACGCTCCATTGCAATGTTAGGGCCCAATTTCATCCGAATTTCACATAAATATGAGCTTGCAGTCCTGATTATGGCTTTCGCCCTTTTTTTTTTTACAAACTCCCTAAGTTCATGGCCCACAAAATGCTCGAATAGCAAATAAAAATGAGGGCATGCAAAACGTGATTTGGCCGGTGTAGACAATTTTGAGCCCATTTACTGGACTTCAACCTTTAAACATCACTGTTTTTGCTCATGAATATGCAAATTTGCTCGTTTCCAAAGAATCGCTCATTTCTAAAGAGGGAAAATTCCCTCTATTTGACTAATAATTCAGTCCCAACGTCTACTGAAACTATATATAGGGGCCACACCTTAAGGAGTCAAATGCTTTCGGTCTTGTAGTTTTCACTGAGTTTCCAATTAAACGATTTGTAAACCGATTACATTATCCCTTCTACTCTTATATTATTTATCACATTTTATGATGAAAATAATCCAAGTATATAAAAAAGTCATCTTTCCAATGGGGGCGCTTTTCAAAACTGACCATTACTATGCATACTGGAAAATATATGCCGATTTTCACGGCGCATTGTAATGGTTTTGGAGATTGGCTTTCTTTTTTGTGTTTATGTCGCAACTCTCTAACCATTTATGGAAATACTTTCTCAAAATGTACAGTAGCCACCGAGCCAAAAGGTCAACAGGTGAACTTGTTATGCACCTGTAGCGTTTTTAGATAACCAGTTAATTCTAAATTTGTCATAAAATTTAGTTAGTTATAACTCTTTAATTATCAACGTCATTTTTGAAGTTTTTAACATGTGTCGTTCCTGTATAATTCAATTCGTGCTTCACGCTAATAATCCATTGGTCATAGCTTTTTCTTGTACATATAATATAGTGTTGTATTAATAATTGTTTTCTACAGAGCATTATATGACCTTCCGGCACACATATTGTTAACCCATCCCAAGACTCACTGGTCATTTGACATAATTGAAAGTTTCTCATTACAGCAGAAGTTACTAGATCATTGTTTTAAGGTGTTATGCGCATATCAATGCCCCCCCCCCCCCCACCTCAGAACTAAAGTTTTCCCTCCTAGGCCTGTCATTCATTCATTCATTCATTCATTCATTCAGAAAAGTCATGCAGTCAATATTCAGTAATTCCTCAGCAGAGTTCAATATTCGTTCCAGTTATCTTTTCCTGTTAACACTGGTGCAAATTGAAAAATTGTTGTGAAATAAAGTCGCGGTTTCAACACTTTCATCAACTATTTGTGTGCTGACTACCTATTCCCCAACACACCCTTTGGCAATTCTGTTGCTTCAAACGAAAAATATGCACCAAAAAAAAAACCATCTCGCCGTACAGTTTGTTTAACGGACATTATGACGAATTGTTTTTTTTTAAGTCTTGTGTTTAATTATTTTACAGTAAAGACAAACATAAAGCGTGCTCATTTTAATTCCAAGGGATAACAGTTCCAGTGCTCAAACAAGTAATTATGTGCTCTGAATTCTTCTCTGACCTGTCACTAAATTGTTGGCCATCAACGCAGTTTTTGTTTCGAGACTTAAACTTTCACTCTTTTGAATACAAGACACAGAAATATCTCAGGCAGTGAGAGGTTTATTTTCATAGCATCCCAACACTTCAAAGCGCATACTGCAGTGGCACTTCCAGTTGGTTGGCAGGATGCGCAGGAATCGAGTGCGCAGGACCGTTCCAAATCGAGCTGTCACATGATGATCGTAGCTTTGGTCGACGTTATTACCAGTGAACTGTAAAAGAAACAAACAGACTTTTCATTTTAACACCAATTCCGATTTGAATGAAATCGCCACATTGGCAGACTGTATACGAATCACCCAACATCGAGCCCGAGTCCGAGTCTGAGTCAACTCTCTCGAGTCCGAGTCCCGAGTCCCGAGTCATGCAGGTTGAGTCCGAGCTACGAATTCGAGTCACGAATTCGAGTCACGAATCACCTTTAAACCTCGCACACAGTGTTAATGTCTTCATTTTTCATAGCTGCCTGATGCTTTATTGAACTGGAAATGCGTTTGTTTCTTGTGCACCGCACTGACTGTATTTGGCATAATAGTGCCAACCAAGTTGGTTTGAGCACACATGGATGCACATACCTAATTCTTCCGGTAGAAATAATAATAGGTATAATCCATGTCAATGCATTGTACGAATAATTCAGCAGCAACCTAGCCAAATTGAAACCCAGCAGGCCTCGTATAGACTTTGTCACTGGCAGCGGTGTGCCATCCGAAGAAACGTACAGCCCCATATGAGTTACCATGATTAACTGGAAGAACATAAAGTCCGTTTTTGCGCGACCGTGTCGTTATTTTTCTCCTAAACCCTTTCTTTTCGCGAGTGGATTTTATGCTTGGTTTTGCTCCCCCCCCCAAAAAAAGCCATACCTCCTCGGGCATGCAATCAGCACCAGTCACGTGATCCCAGGACTGACCGTCACAGCTGTGTGTCACTCTGTAATGCGTGACTCGCTGTTGACAATTGTTATGACCGTCATCACCTCGGGCTTGGGTGACCAGGCCTGTGACGTAGACCTCGGAGTCGAACTTGACCTGAATCCAGGGATGATCTGGGTCAGTTTTTTCGTCGTTGCACCACGCAGATGCATAGGCTGTTCAACAATAATATAAAAGGAAATGTCGTTTGGGCTGCTAATTCACCTGAAAACGAATGTCTTTTTTTCCCAATCAGTTTGTACATTATTTTGAAAGCAATGGAAACGATGGAGGGACCACCTTACAGCACGGTGGGTCTGCCGCCAAATTTGTGCCCCTTTCAAATTGGTTTTGTGACGCCCCTGTCCATTTTGCCAACCCACCCCTGCCCTGCCCGTGATGATGACTGTTGTCATTATGCATTATACTTGGACTTCAGAGAATCGCACCAGGAACGAACAGAAATAACTCCATAACGGTGCTCTTATTTGATCTTTACGAGTATTGGTGCATTTTATTTTTGACACAGGAAATTCAATAGTACCCTTGGTATTGAGGCGCGCCTTGGCAGGTCCATAGTTCAGCCGATTCTGATAATAAGACGAAGCAGTAATCTGTTCGTCTTTGATGCGCCCATCCTGCATGCCGAGAGGTTCCTCATCAGAGCAAACTATGAAGCGAAGGATCCAGGAAGTTTGATCAAGTTATAAATAGCGGTGAATACAGGCAATTGACTTTGTTTAATATGAGTTTAACAAGCATAAGATGTAGATGGCTGAGTGAGTTTTTCTCATGCAGATTTTTTTAAAGTGTACAACAGGTGCCTTTTTTCCACCTTCCGATCTTTAATCCAAATTGAAGCAAAACCAGGCAAGTAGGATGTTTTCTTAGTAAAACATAGTTTACCAGAAATATCTTGTGTTCCGCACTTTCCAAGCGCCATAAATGCAACATGTATGTGGAAAGTACGAGGATAAAAAAGAGATTATTATTTCAAGGTTTGTTTTACTGACAGAAAAGGGAAAAAGCTCCTTTCGATGTTTCCCTTTTCCTGAAAAGATGGGTGAACCATTGGAAAGAGGGTCTTTAATGTGCACCTCTTTATAAGGACAACAGTGAGAGGGCATATCAGTATTTGCTACACTGTTAAAAATGTCCGTAAATTTACGGACTCCGTAAAGTGAAATATTACGTATTTTCACGGACATCTGTAAATGCAAATATTAATTATGCTAATTAGCGTGATTACAATCAACCACATTTGCCCAAACACCTACACGTAATATAGTACATCTAAGTACATATTGCTATTTCACCCACAACCGTGTACACATGTCCAAACTCAGTTTAAGGGTTTGTTTATTTTGCGGAATGAAAACACTTTTCCGGAAATTTTGCTGCAGGAATACGGAACGCGAATTTTTTGGCTGGCAGCAAAATTTCCGGAAAAGTTTTTTCATTCCGTAAAATAAACAGACCCTTAACATGAGTTTGGACATGTGTACACGGTTGTGGGTGAAATAACAATATGTACTTGGATGTACTATATTATGTGGAGGTGTTTGGGCCGATGTGGTTGATTGTAATCACGCTAATTTGCATAATTAATATTTGCATTTACGGAAATTCCGTAAAATTACGGCGAAAATACAGAATATTTCACTTTACGGAGTCCGTAAATTTACGGACATTGTTTTAAATCCAAATGTGTCCATCTATTTTTGATATATCTAGGGTCTCTACATTTCGACATGGGTCTATAGTACTAAATCTGTACCGTAAACGCTGCAATTGAGTCGCATCCTGATCTCAGGCAGTTGAAGTGGTGCGTCGAAGTACGACGTACGAAACGGTCCTTGGGGACGAATCACGTTGACTCCGCCCAGTTCAACAGTGGTGCACTGACAGGGATCTTTGAAGGGTAACGCCCATCGCAGACGATTGGTCGCTGGATCCCACTCTTGGCCAATGAAACACGGGCACGCAGCGGCAGTCCAGAACATGAAACCTTATTGGACGGATAAAAGAACCAAAAATGAGTCATTTAAATTAAAGTAATAATTGCCTTTCATTAGGCCTATATTAGTTATGAGCTCCCAACGGAACATCTCACGAAAAAAATGGGCCCACGACAAGAAGTAATCAATTAATTAATTTCATATTAAGAGCGGGACGCTCCTTATTCGTTCTGAATAGCGTGCGCAATTTCTGAACTGGAGAACCCATTTAAAACCACTTTTACAGGGCGCCTCCAAAAAATAAACAAGCAAATTTATTTATTGCAGGACATTACATTAGTTTAAATTTCGTTCAGAAGATTTACATTTTATCTAAAGATTTTTAAATGTTTTATTTCTTCCTAATTGTAAAATGCTTTTTATATTGAATGTTTACTAGTTTTAAAGTTGTTCATTGTACAGTAATGCCATTTCAATTCAGCTTTGGGCTGCGATAGTGGCTTTAATAAACCAGAAGAATAATTTTAAAAATCGAACTAGTGTTCGTGGATTCGTGATTTAAGCACCGAGTAAATTCGATCGTAAATTATTACCCATTGCCATGACGTCACACTATTGTTAAAAGTGTGGATTCGGAACTACGAATCAGTTACACTGGTCACAAAGTGTGGATTCGAAACGACGAATCTTTAGTAAGGTGCGGATTCGGAATTACGAATCCAGCACTTTGAACATGTCGGACAACAAAATGACTTGGTTGTACCACGGATCCTAGACACCAGGATAAACGACTCGGACCAACTCCTGGTTAGACGCGTGATAACGGCCTGTACTGGTGAACCAAATACCATGAAACTTTTCAACGAAGACCACTGCGCGCGGTGGCTTTCAGATTTGCAAGGCTCTTCGCCCGATCTGGCCTCGAAGTCTGTCAAGCCAGCGAAATATATTTTGAATATTCATGAGTCTACGGTTTTGGTCTTTATTATTGAATTCTGATAAGTGATAACTACATAACCATGGGAATGCCGAGCACAATATCTTTAGCTTTAAGATGAACAATGAAATGTCGCTTTTGTTTCATTGGTTCGGCATCACATCTCTCTAAAAACTTTTTAATAAAAGCCTCATTAAAAACGAAATTTGGGTAAACGGTGTTCTCCTCGAAATTTGACGTTTATTTCCCGGGTAAATACTTCATCTATGACGACAAAAAACTGCACAATACCATCTGTTATATCCTGAAGTATTTATTTCTTAAATAATTTGGAACAATTATATCTTAAATTAGAAGTAGTTTTGCTTACAGTTTTATGAATATTTTCGTTTTAGATGTCATGCAAATACCCAACACAATGGCACATCTGGAAAATTCGCGATTACGCGCCAACGGGTATTAATGCCCGTTATCACGCGTCTAACCAATTAAGGCAAGTCCGCTCAGTGCATTTTGTACTAGAGCTCAGAACAGTCATTTATATTATCCTGGTGTCTATAGGAACCGTGGTTGTACGGGTGTGGCGATACATGCTTAACACGCCACACATACTGAAATTGGTATCCTTGTGGAGACATTTCTTTGTTTTCGTGTACTAAAGTTTTTCGAGTTTGAAAGTTTAGTTTTAAAATGCTCTTATTTTAACCAGAATTAATTTTCTTGGCTGAAATTCGGACTTACTATCCCTTTTCTAAAACTCTTCCATTTGTGACGGATCAACATACCTTGGAAATTCCTAGTTTTTCAGTAAAGTTCATAATGTCTATTTCTTGATAACCTTGTGGAGACGTATTCATCTATAGAAATTGCCCTGTGGAGACGTATACCATCTTTTGTTCCCTACAAGTTGTGTGCATGTCTCCAGAGGGCACAGTGTATCAGATTACATGCTTGATTACGTATACGAGTGTATTCTTCTCTGACTTAAAGGGAATGTACAACATTTGCTTTTGCTGCTATTTTCTGAAATAAATGAATTTGGAGGATCAGTATGTTATAGGATCAAATATTGTTAAAATGACTTGTTTCACGTTTTGGGTTTGTAAATGCTGGAAAAACCAAGAAAACCAATCATGTTCTTGTAGTCTGGTTCCCTGACCCCACTTAGGATGAATTGGAGCAATTTATAGATTGGGGGAATTGTAAGGTCAGAGAATCAGTCTAGTAGTCTTGTACCCCTTCACAGGTGAGTAATCAATTAGAAAGAAAATGCGGAATAACTAATTAGGAAAAACTTGGAGCAGTTTTTGAAAAAACAAACGTTTTCTTGAAAATGTCAGCACACCAGGATCCATGTTTTTACAGGGTGCTTTGGAATGTTATTCCCTAACAATGCAGTACGATATTTCGTTATAATTTGATCATTTCGGGTTTTGATGTTTGCAAATGTTGCATCTTCCCTTTAAACCATTGCGTATAAAGACTATTTCCAAGAACTATCGAGTTGAGTAGAAATGAAAAGGCATGATGCATAGCACGGCGTCACCGAAGTAATAACACCCAGGTCCACTTTAACATGTTACTCCCTGAAAACCGCTCCACACGACACATTTGGGTCACTGTGTGCGCGCAAATCGGACATTGGCGCGAACGATTTTCGTTTCCACAAAGTTACGAAAATAGCCTACTATTTTGAAAAACGTTTTAAAAAGGTTTGAAAGGAATAAAATTAATCCGTGTTATCGTGGGATTGCAGAAAAATTAAATAAAAGCCTTTAAACCGGTGAAATAGAGATGGGTGTAAATTGTAGCGAGCGAGCGCAAAGTGGTGGGTGTAGGCTTCGTGAACACGAAAACCACTCGATTCTGTAAAAGACGCATGCGTAGCGCGTACTCAAGTCGGCGCTCCGGTGTTACGTCGTGATATCGTTGACGATGGTTATAAATTTACATATACAAGGCAACTGCAAGGATCTTACGTAATCAAGCTCAGATGTAATAATAAGAAAACGAAAAGCTTTGTTTCGTAACTGTTTAAGTTGAGCTAAGATGAAATATCATTAGGGCCTAAGATGAGAAATCATGAATTCTTTAAATTGCTCATGAAAAAGAAATTTGCAGTCTATAATGTGTTTCCATGAGGAGTGTGTTTTGTGTATCAACACGGTTGGTGGCCCCTTGACGTCGATAACATGAATAGTTCAGACGATAAGTTGTTTTTAGTGCAGTTTTCGCAGTGATGATCTCATAATCTGATGAAAACGTCGCACATTGAGGGAAACCTTGCCTCGAAAAAGACCTTCTTACTTAAGTCCTTATGAAATACAATTCTCCGATGTTTCGGATAGATTATGAATAGATAGTTTGTCAGTCAGCAGAAAATCTGTACCACACACAGCGAAATTGTTGAACAAAATCGTTAGAAATTTTTAATTTTTGACTTGTTTTGACTGTTGGACCGAGAAGTTTAGATTTTTTGACCAAAGAGGTATTTATGAATAGGCTCGGGTATTTATCAGCATCCAGACTTTAACCGGTCTTAAACAGACTGCGAGTGTTTAAACCCTCCCAAGCATTTTATTCCCTTACTATATACTATGAGTATATACATGGATGTCTAAACATGAAAGCTAAATCCAAAAAGAACCATAATTGCACGGCCTCTTTGTTCGAGAAGAAAACAAATGCAAATACAAAACAACCAAAATACAAATCAACAAACAATACGGCTGTAAAAATTAGCCCTACAAATTTTGAGAACGAGTGCCCACTTTAAAAAAAAACTAAAAACAAAAAGGCCATTTTTGTTTTAAATTTTAGGTATGCTCATTTTTAAGACTTCGCAAGTCACAAACACATGAAAGAAACATGATTTTCAGAAAGCTATGTATAATTTCAACGACTTACCGATTATATGAAGCCCGACTAAGACCAACACATGCCACATTTTTCCGACTACACAGAGGACCGTAGACGCTATATCGCCGCCTAGTCCTCGCTGGTAAAATGAACTAAAGTGACGTCCCTCGGTGTCAAGGTCCGATGATTTCCATCAAAGCGTTTGAATTGAGATGGGGCCGTATATTCGGATTTTTTTTACCGTAAACAGTACTGAGCTCCTCAGTACTAGTTTTGCTATCACAACAGACTGCTGCATGTAATGCAGACTTTGAATCATCTAGTAAACACTGATGGATACTAAGTAGTTACCATGGCAACAAAGCAGTCTTTACTGTCACACAAGTTTGTTCCCTAAAACATACATTCATGGCGAAAACAATCGAATGAGAGCGCAGTAAGACAGAGCAAGGAATTTTCGCAAGGCAGTTTCGGATGACTCGCAATATTAATATCGGATGGCATTTTGTTGTTGTGACGGCAAATTGCCTGAAGGCCTTTGGTTGCCATGGAAATCTTTAAACCATAGAAATACAGCGCAGAATGTATAATGAGACGTGAGCAACTTTCAATCAATCGTGAATGATCCATTGTAATGGACCCTTAGCTTTTAATTGCTTTTTTTTGAACGAAACTAATATGAGCATCGAAGGCGAGATTCTTACTCCTGCCACTACCGTTCAGAGCGACGATACCACGGCAGACCCTGTCGAGCGGCAGCGCGGTGCCATGCCCAGTTCAATTTGCCGAGCCGAATTGTTCTAAACGCAGTGCTATCGCCGTGTCAATTTCAACAAAGTCAAATTGATTGAATTCAGGGCGGTGTTTAGATCACGCCTGTGGGTTAAAAAAAATGGTGTTTTAAAGTCATGCTGTAAAAAAAGGAACACTTAGCCCGCGATCATGGGCGTCGCCAGGATTTTTTCTAGAGGGGGGCAAAACATTTTTTTTTCCAAAAATGCTTGCATTTCTCAACATATTCTCGATTTATCAGTTTTAGAGGGGGGCAGGGACATGTTGCCCCCCCCCCCCCAACTCATTAAATTTACATCACTTTGTCTTCGCGCCTCTTTTTCTTTTCTTTTTTTCTCTTTTTTTTTCTTCTTCTTCTCCTTTTTTTTTTTTTTTTGCTTTTCCGGGGGGGGGGGGGGGGCAAGTGCCCCCCTTGCCCCCTCCTCGCTACGCCCATGCCCTCGATGTCTACGTAGATGTGAAATTCGTCTTTATAGATCGATTGCATTCAGCGGCCATCTTGGAGGTCTGTTTTATATGTTTATTCTTTTAAAATGAATACACAAGAGGTGTACTCGTACGTATCATTGATGAACAAAAGCACACACCTAAGAGATATGCAGCTGCAGTGCAAACAATCTACAAACCATAACATTAACCAGCTTTCGCTGTACATTCACGGTGCCCCCCTTCAATGGCGAAAGAACTGTGCCGGCTATACAAGGCAACTACGTTGGATTATCTGAACAATAGCTTGCACAATGCTGTCTCTTCATTAAAGGGGGCCTCCTTGAATGTACAGGCACAAGCGTGCACAGAATGGTCTTAATCGTGGAAAGTTTCCATTGCAGATGAAAACCCCTTAATCAGAGACAGGGGTACTTATCACAATAATAAATGACATTACAATTAAAATTGAAACATGGAGTCACAAAATTAATGGCATTATACCCCTTCATCATTTTGAGACTACTCCTTCTCAAATTATATCCTTCGCGCGGCAGGCGTCTTTCAGGCGAGTGCTTTTCCGCCCGCA